GACCCTCAAAACCAGTATAAGAGTAAAAAAGGTTGGCTGGAGCCTTAATACCAGGTTAACTTGGAGAGGTTGGAACAAGTAACACTCGCCATAGGCCGGTTGAAGAGCCTTAATATCAATCCAGCCTAGAGAGGCTAAGTTAAGAATATACTCCCTCTTCAGCGGGTAATGAATAAAGATCACACTATCACAAAATAAGTAGAAGCAACATGGAGTTTCTACACCAAGTCGGATGCCTTGATGGTACACAGTACCATCCTTGTCACTCTATAGAGCACGCAACTCAACATTGAGCTACTCCAAAGGCCAAGGATATAGGTAAACCCATGTATATGAAGGATATAGGTAATACCATCTTGGCTGGCTAGATAGCGGATCTTGTCTAGACCGAGATCTCCCAGCGCATGTCCGAGGTCATTCTACGTTGTGATGCCGAGCTCGAGCTCGGCATGGCGGTACGGATAGTACACTAGCCCCCCGAGCTCCGAAGACCATAGGTCGAGGAGTTGAAACCGAGCTCGTTAGGGGGTCGTGACCTTTCGCATACGCCTGCCTGTCGAGATTCCATGTGTCACAACTGTCACTTCTCATTTCGAAACGCGAGGTCGGCGCGTTAATGGGCATGACGGTTATGCAATGATGGCTTTTTCTATCATAATGGGCCTCATTTAATACGTGGTCAGACGTGTCCCTTGGGTGACACGTGTTATGACCATTTTGAATTTTGGGGTATTCTTTTCTCCCACTCGCGCCTCTTCCCCTTTCACTTTACTCTTTTCGTTTTCTTTCTTCTTTGGCTTCTTGCGCAAGCTACTTCCTGCACTTTCGCTTCTGTTCAGTTTTCATCGCCGTTTCCGACAACTGGGTTTCGCCTCTTCCTATTCGCTCTTTCTTTTGTCAAAGGGGTACCAGGTACTTCGATTTACCTATTTTCTCTTTCTTCTCCAATCTTTCCTTCTTCGAGTCTTTCTGTTTTCTTGATGGTTAGAGAGAGTGGTGACAGGTCTTCCGCGCCTGCCAAGGGCAAAGGTAAGGCGCGCGGCAAGGCGGTGGTCACCGGGAAAGCTGCCGCCTAAAATAAGAATCCGTCTAAGGACCTCGATCCAGGCATCCCTGGCTACGACTGGGTCAGGCTTGATGTGGGGGAGGCCCAAAGTGTGTTTAGGTCTTTCCTTGAGGTCAATGCAGTTTGGAAATCGCACAGAATTTGTGACCCTTCTTTCTCCCAAATGATCCGGCTTGAACCTTGTCAGGTCGGTGAGGGTGTGTACATGGGGAGGTCTACTGACCCTCCCCATTTCTATGTCTACTAGTGTTTCTTTAGGAATTTAGGCGTTTGTCTTCCTTTCACTCAATTTGAGTGTGATTTTTTGAATTTTATCAACTCGGCTCCTTGCCAGTTGCACCCAAATAGTTGGGGTTTTTTGAGGGCTTTTCAAGTCCTGTGTTCAGTTCTAGGGATAGAGGTGTCTCTTCCTGTTTTTCTTTATTTTTACCAGCTGAAAATAGGAGTTCCTCCTTATGGTTTGCCGTCTCTGAGTGGGAGTAAGGATGGGGGTTTATTCACTCTTTACTCCCAGTCATACAAAAATTTTAAACAAGAGTTTTTCCAGGTTGCACTTGTGGATGTCGACCTGTTGGAGGATGGGGCGTTCTACTTTGGCGGGTTGCCGAAGTTCCCCTTCTATTGGTGCCCCAAACCGGCTAGGTTTCACGGGGTGGGCCAATTGCAATTGACGACTTCGGAGGCGGCCGCCATTGAGAACCTTGCAGCGCTTCCTCGCCTGCTAGATTGCAAGCTCGTCTTGTCGCTTGCAAACTCGGCGTACAAGGAGAGGGGCTTAGAGAGTGAGTATTCCGTTTTCATTAGGTTGTTAGGGTTTGTGAAACCTTCTTTTGCTAATGTGTTTTATCTTCTGTGTTTACAGGCATAATGGGCAGGAACATAGAGCCATTTTTTACAGGCAGGGGACGTTGCCGAGACCTCGGTGGCTCCAAGTTCAGAGGTGCTAGGGGTGGGCGCCCCCATTGCTGAGCAGGGGATGCCTGTTGCCGCTTCTGTTGCTGTTGAGGATCGTGGTAAGGGGCCGAGTTCTGAGGTCCCAACGGCGACTCCTACGGTTTCGGCGCCGTCATCTAGTCCATCGCAGGGGGCTTTCCGGAGTCGGTATATTGCCCACCATTTTGGGAAGGACCGCTCTGATGTGCGATTGGACCATATGAGTGCTTCTACTGATGTGGACTCGTTGTGGAGTGCAGGGGTGACCGCCGAGAAGTTCTTTCCCAAGGGTTCGCTGAGCTCGGAGGACCAGGGGATGATCGAAGAGGTCGGGCCCGTGGAAGGTCTTGACGCTGCCCAGGTCTTTCTACAGAGGAGTATGGCTATTGTGGACCACTGGAAGCATAGGTGGTCCAAGCAGTAGGAAGACCTGGTCAGCCTGAGGGGCCACCAAGCTGTAGAACGAGGCGGAGCTTCAAGCTTCTCGGAGGGAGGTGGAGAGGATCCGGAAGTCTCTAGAGATCGCTCTGAGATCTAACGAGACTTATGCTGCTCAGGTTCACAATTTGCAGGAACTCTCCAGCTCTTCCCGGGCTCGAGTGCGTGCCTTAGAGGATGAGGTCACTGCGTAGAAGGCCGAGTTGGTGGCAGCGACCGAGAAGCGTCTTTGTGACGAGGTGCTTCTCGGCGGACAGGCAGAGGAGAATGCTGCTCTGAAGGTGGACATGGCAAGGTTGGAGGAGGTGAAGACGGGGATGGAGAGGAAGCTCGAGGAGATTGAGCGGGCCGTCATCTTTGAGCACAAGAGGGGGTTCCTTAAGGAAGCTCGCCAGGCAAGGCTTCTCGCACCGGGGTTTGACTTCTCGGATAACAGCCTACACAGAGGCAACAAAATCCAAAAGTTAAAAAAAGTTACCCGAATAAGGATAACCGGGATACTCCACCAACGTCAAAAGGACGTCAGCCAAACATAAGGCATTGCTCAACTCAGAGAGAAAGAGCATCTGTGTCTATACCCCAAGGAGTCAGAAATTCCCCAAGGGTACCAACAATGCAATGCAAGTTGGGGCACAGGAACCTGTGAATGACTGCACATCCCCTAGACGGATCCCTGCGTTATCCAGCCCTCAGTAACAACCCATGCTTCACCTCATGATCATCATTTCTAAAATTAGCTTCATAATGTAATTGATGATTAAGATAATATCCAGCTGCATGTAAATGCCTATGAAGTTGACTATCCCACCTCTTATCAACAATTTCCCATATAGGTTCATAGCTACACAAATACCAAATGTAGTATATTAGAAATAAATCAAATAACCACACACAAATAACATAATTACATTTTAAATGAAATAAACTTTAGAAATCTTACCTTTTTTTTTATATTATTAAAGTTGCTCTGAATCCTTTCTTTTGCACAATCCATCTCCTCATATATAAAACCCATGGCCGATTTTATATCAGAATCCACCAATCAAAGGACTACCATAAGAGGGGTAGCTACTTTGAGGCAAATGGTTACATTCTTCCAATATGGACTATCTAAAATTATATTTTCAATTTTTCTTCCCTCTTGTGAAGTTCCAAACTTACTCTTCTTCCACTTTTCAGAGCTAAACATGGTCATCAATGATGCTTTCATTTCATGGAGACAAGATAAAGTCAAATAAGCTGTTGCAAATCTAGTCATACCAGGCCTAATCAAATCTCTTCCTTTTGTAAACTTTTTTAGCATGCTTCTACCATATATGTAGGTAGTGATCCTCCTCCCCTTCTTTATAGTAGTTTGATGAACCTTCAAGTGTTTCTCAAAATCCTAAAATATCAAATCAATGCAATGGGCAGAACATGGGTCCAATACAAGTTTTGTTAAGTTTGCATAAACAATTCTCCTAGTGCCTTGTAATTTGCAGCATTATCAGTAACCACTTGCACTACATTCTCTTCTCCAACATATGCCACTACATCACCCAACATCTTAAAAACTTTGTCATTAGTTTTTGAGATATCAGAAGTATCTAATGAATATAAAAATACAGTACCTTTTGGACTATTCACTAAAAAATTACAAATAGATCGCCTTTTTCTATCTGTCCACCCATCAAACATAATTGAGCAACCAGTTCTCTTCCACTCCTCCTTATATTCTTCAAGTAATAAATTGGTGTTCTGGACTGCTTATTTCAAGAGCTTCTCTCTAATATCATGGTAAGATGGAGGTTTATAGCCAATTCTATATTTTCCAATCATGTCACACATTTTTGCAAATGCTGGATTTTTAATAACATTGAATGGAATGGTACTTGTGTAAAAAAATTCAGCAACTTGAGCATCAACTTCTTCTTTATATCCCTTTTTCATCATTTGATTTATAGTTGCTTGAACTCCTCCTCCACTACCGGTAAGAACTTTTCCTTTTCCTTTGGACCACAACATCCTTTAATTATTTGTCTCTAAGGCCACCCCCTGACTTTGTTGTTCCTCAACTTCTTCTTCATCAATACTATTCAATCTTCTTTTCTTCAATGATGCCTCTTTAGCCTCCACAATAATTTTTAACATAAGTAACTTAATTTCTTCGCACACTGAAGCACAAGGCTTTGAATCTTCTCTAGTCCCTGCAAAGATGATGCTTGAATCTAGTAATTCCTCCACTCACAATCTTTGAGCAATAATTACATTTAACTTTTCTTGCATTGCCGTGAACATCTGTCCCATGCTTCCACCCAATATCTGACCTGTTTCCTAGAGCATTTCTATTTCTAGCAACATAGAAGGCTACTCCTGATCCACTATCAGCAGAATTTGATCCAGTCCCATACATGATTATAGTAGAAATCACTATAAATAGAATCAGAAATGATAATCAAAGTTGCAATCAGAAGCAAGTTAACAATGATTCAATGAATCACAAAAAAATAAGTAAAATTTAAAACCCTAACCAAAGTTGGTTCGCACAGAAGTGATTCGCGCACAGAGAAGATAGCGGAGCCGCATGATTTGCCTTTGTCGTGGACTTGTGGAGAAAAAGACAGTGGAGGCGCACGGAGGAGAAAAAGACAGCAAAGGCGCACAGAGGAGAAGGAGACAACGGAGGCGCGCAGAGGAGAAGGAGACGGCAGAGGCGCGCGGAGGAGAAGGAGACAACGCGGAGGCGCGCGGAGGAGAAGGAGAGCGCGAAGGCGCGCGAAGGAGAAGGAGACAACGTGGAGGAGAATGAGACACGGAGGAGAAGAACACAATGTTTGTGCACTCGTTCGAGAGAGAAAATGAGAGCACCAGTGCCCTAACACAAAACGAGTGTTTTGTGTAAGTGAAAAAAAAAGTGATTTCTTAAACTTGGAACTGATCTCGCGAGATTACACGAGATCATCGAGATTACTTCGAGATTACTCAAAAACGAGTTTACTCCCGAGTTATACAAGTAAGTTGTCCTAATCTCGTAAACTCATACGAGTTTACGAGTTATCACTAGAGATTGACAACCATGTATTTGATATCTCATTATTAAATTCAAATCAACGTATTAAATGCTTTTTTGATTATCTTTCCATTTGAATTAATGAAATAAATTATCAAATAGTTCTTATATTTTTTTAAAAATTTGTAAACTTGATCTATACATAAGAACTTTTAATTTAATAGTTAAAAATCGTTAAAACTTGATGTAGAATATGATTTATTGAGTAAAACAAGTCTAATTAAACTTACTTTTGGAGTGAATAGATCCCTCCTCATATATATATATATATATAATATAATATAATCCTATTTTTGATCAATAATTGAAAGAAAATTACTTTGCTCCTAAGGACATAAGCACAATATCAAACCTTATTAAACCGATATTTATGTGTTTATTTAGGTTCTTTAGATTCTTGTTGTGGTGTAACAAAAATTTAATTATCTAACTAGCAATATTGGCCAACATAAATGTTAAGAATATGCATAAATATATTTTGTATACAAAGATGAAATTTAGTTTTTTTTTAATAAGAATTTGTTATTTATGTTTTAAGTATTTAGATTTAAAGATATTAACAAATTATTTTGACTATTTTAGGCTTTGTTTTCTCTCTTAAGAATAGGATGCTATTGATTTTTTGAATTCTTGTATTACAATTTTATTTTGTATATAGAGAACTCATGAATAAAAATATAACATGCTCCTTTTAAAAATATTTTTATACAAAATACAAATAAAAGAAAACAAATTAATGTTCAATAAAGAGAATATCACAAGACAATGATACAAAATGCATTCCTCTTTTTAGAACAAAAAATTATACTATAGTGTTCTTATGGTTAACTAATTCATTTGTATTTGAAATAGTGTTACTTGTCATCAAAAACACCAAGTGGGTTGAGAAGGCTCAGAGAAGAGGAGTTGGGGCGATTAAGAGGGAATGGAGAAGGGGAGCGCAAGAGCTTTGACAGAATATATGATTATGATGTATACAATGATCTTGGGGATCCCGATTCCAACACTGACCTCCGAAGGCCTGTTCTTGGTGGCACCAAACAACATCCATATCCAAGGCGGTGTCGTACGGGTCGAACGCACTCTAATTCAGGTCATTTATGCTAATGTGACATTTTTCATTTGACCATAAACATCATCATTTAATATAAAAAATACTAATGAGGATGTGTTTAAATATAGTTGGAAATGCTTCTAAAAGTTGGTTAAAATGTACAAGTTGCAATAGGTTTAAATAGTTTATAGGAATTCATAAGTTTAAACTAGTAACTCATTAAATATTGTCATATAGTAAGTCAAAAAATAGTTTTTGTTTAGTTATTCATGGGATATTGGATTTTTTTTTATTTGTTACCACCTTTTTTTTTCCCATCCTTTTCTGGCCTATATATTTTGAAATAACTTTTCATAAATCTTTTATATCAATTTTTTTACTTCAACAATATGAATGTTATTTCTATCAACACGTGTACTCTTCTTATTTCTTCTAGTTTAATAACAAAATCAATTGGAAATGAGATCTTTCAAGTTATAAAGATAGATGCAAATAACATTGATGTGTTTCTCAATGTGTTTGGAACAATAGAATTTTAAGAATAACTAAAAATGAAATAGTAGATATTGGAAAAAATGTATAAATGTATATTCTTTGATGTTTGTTTAATTGTTTTAAGCTTTAAATGGCATAGTAATTAGTTATCATTTCTAAAATTAGATTTTCACTAAGACCAAGTTTAATCTCTAAGTAACTAATTCGTAGCTTTAATCATTTCTTTGTTTACTTTTCTTTTATACTATTTATTATGGTGGAAAGATTTAAAGTTTTGAAGATGACAGTTAACAAAATTTTCTTTTCTATTTTAATTTGTTATTATTGTTGTTGTTTAACAGACCCATCATTTGAGAAGAGAAGTTCAAGTTTCTATGTTCCTCGTGATGAGACATTTTCTGATATAAAACAGTCACAATTCACAATGACATCAATATCCTCAGGACTTAGTGCAATTTCAGAATTCTTTGATGCAATTCTCATTGACCAAAATCTTGGATTTAGAAGCTTTGAAGACATAGACACTATCTACAAAGAAGGGTTTCAGTTACCATCTCTTGAAGATAATGGCTTAACATTTCTACAAAGCACCATTCCTAGGTTAATCAAGACTGCTAATGATAGCAAAAACCTTTTACGCTTTGACGCCCCAGAAACAATTAAAAGTAAGCACATTTATAAATACATTAAAAATGCTTGTTATGGTCTAATATACTCTGCAAATTATTGATCCAAATGTAGTATAAATATTGAATAAGTACATGATGAGATAAACTAATAATTTTTTTTTGGCCCTAGATGGTAGATATTATTGTTGTTAAGGAATATTTTTCTTAAAATATTAACGATTTATGTTAAGGCTTAATATTTATTTTTATTCTCTAATAAGCCTTCTTCGGTTATAATCCTTTGAAATTGAAGTTTGAATAAAGCATAAGGTCACTCCATGCTCTAATGAAATTTACCTTTAGTGTCATACTAGATACTTTTATTTTCTCGCAAATATAGTAATGTATTATTTTATTATGATCAAAGCCTTGAACATTTATGGACAACATGCGTTAAGTACTCTTAATCACTTCATTATTGATAACTCAATACTTCGTTTGAATCTAACAATTAGATGATTGCAGGGAGAATTATGGTTATGTCCATCACCTTTATTGGGATCTTTGGTTAATATAGTGAACCAAAGTTCAAGTGGTTGACAAAAAATTACTTAATATTAAGATACCACAAAATGAAAATTTTTTCTATCTAAGATGATTGTGATTTTTGGAAATGTAGGGGACAAATTCTTTTGGTTTTCAGATGAGGAATTTGCTAGGGAGACTTTGGCAGGGGTGAACCCATATAGCATCAAATTGGTCAAGGTAAGAAATTTTGCAAATATGATTACTACCCTCACAATGTCATTATTTATTAAGGATCTCAATGTTTTCTTGGTATATTTACGATGTAGGAATGGCCTCTAAGAAGTAAACTAGAACCCCAAATCTATGGTCCACCAGAATCAGCTATCACCAGAGAAGTCATTGAACCACAAATAATTGGTTATGGCACAATTGAAGAGGTACCAAAGTATTTATGACTAAAATAAATTTAGAATGTGTTATGTTTAAAAGTTGTTTACTTTCAATACATGTAGGCCATTAAAGAGAAGAAGTTGTACATGTTAGACTACCATGATTTATTTATACCTTACGTAAGCAAAGTGAGAAAGATAAAAGGGACCACACTATATGGATCACGAACATTATTCTTTCTCACTAAACAAGGCACATTGAAGCCACTAGCTATTGAGCTCACTAGACCTCCTATGGATGGCAAGCCACAATGGAAGCAAGGTGTGGTTATTTGATTTATTTCTAATATACTACATTTGGTATTTGTGTAGCTATGAACCTATATGGGAAATTGTTGATAAGAGGTGGGATAGTCAACTTCATAGGCATTTACATGCAGCTGGATATTATCTTAATCATCAATTACATTATGAAGCTAATTTTAGAAATGATGATCATGAGGTGAAGCATGGGTTGTTAGACTATATGAAGAGATTGGTAAAGGATCCTGCAATAAGAAAAAAAAATAATATGCAGTTTTTTGAGTTTCATTATACTAGAGGACCTTTTGGCCTGGATGATGCAAAGGAATGTAGGAAGGCAATGCTTCCTGCAGAATGGTGGGGATGTTCGGGGATCATTGTCTAGAATTGAAAAGGTTTGTCATTCGTGTTTTAAGCTTGATTTGTAGTTCTTCTGGATGTGAGTGTAATTGGAGCTCATTTGAAATGGTGATTGAAGTTCATGACCTTTTTATGGTTTTCAAATTTCTTTATTTAATTTTAGACTTAAATTAAATGATCAATTGATCATAATATTTTTTTATATTATTTTCTAGGTTCATACAAAAAGGAGAAACCGCTTGCATCAAAAAAAGATGAATGACTTGGTGTATGTCATGTACAACTTGAAGTTAAAAAAAGTAAAGTAATAAGAAAAACAATTACTCTTCCATTTGATGATATTCAATCAAATGATGAATGGATAGTTGAAGAAGGAGACAATGTTGGTTAAGAGAATGTTGATGTTGAGCAACCTCAAGGTGAAGGAGAAGGTGGAGGTGATGGTGTTAATGTGCAATTGGATGGTGGAGGTTCAAGCTTAAGTAATCCAACTTTGGATGCATTTCATCTTGACAAAATGGTTTTTGATGATGATCTTAGCAGTGAGCATTCATCCGAGGAAAATGTTGATGGAAATGATGATGAAGACCTTGGAGTTGGAGATGATATTATTAGAGGATTAGACATGAAAATTTGAAGATATTACTCATGTGATGTTTTAATTTTTTATTTGTCTATTTTTAAGAACTTGTGTTTTGTCATTTGTGTGAACTTTTGTTAAGAACTTTTGTTAAGAACATTTATTATTAATGTAATTTTCTATTTTACTCTTTAATATAGAGTTAAAATGTTTAATTATTATGTTATTTTTATTTTTTATTTTTATTTTTTTTTATTGAGTAATCTCTTACGAGTTTATGATACGAGTTTACGTAGTCTCCACGAGATTACATAAACTCTCGAGATTGACAACCTTGATCAAATAGTTTTCAAATTTTTAAAAAAATTATAAACTTAATTTATACATTAAAATTTTTTAATTCAATGTTTGAATCATTAAAAAAGATAATCTATGCATCCAAAGTTGGATTACTTAAGCTTGAACCTCCACCATCCAATTGCACATTAACACCATCACCTCCACCTTCTCCTTCACCTTGAGGTTGCTCAACATCAACATTCTCTTAACCAACATTGTCTCCTTCTTCAACTATCCATTCATCATTTGATTGAATATCATCAAATGGAAGAGTAATTGTTTTTCTTATTACTTTACTTTTTTTAACTTCAAGTTGTACATGACATACACCAAGTCATTCATCTTTTTTTGATGCAAGCGGTTTCTCCTTTTTGTATGAACCTTTTCGCCTAGTAGACGCCACACCAGGTCGCCAACTTGGAAAGATCGAGGTCGCACTCGCGTATTGTATCTTCTGGATGCTCGGAGCTTGCAAGCTTCTTCGTGGATTTGAGCTTCTTCTCTGAGCTCGTCAACTAGGTCGAGGTCGGCTGCTAACTCTTGAGCGTTCTACTCGCCGTTGAAGGCTTGGCATCGGTGCGATGTCTCTCTGACTTCTACTAAGATCATTGCGTCAGCTCCATAAGTTAGTCTGTAAGGAGTTTCTTGCGTTGTTGACTGGGGGGTGCAATGATACGCCCAGAGGATGCTGGGAAGCTCGTCGGCCCACTGTCCTTTGGCGTTCCCTAGCCGCTTCTTAAGTTCTCGGAGGATGACCTTGTTAGCTGCTTCGGCTTGGCCATTAGTTTGTGGATGTTTCACTGAGGTCGGAAGATGCTTGATACCGAGCTCACGGAGGAAGTCCTCAAAGCCCTGTGCGATGAATTGCCAGCCGTTGTCAGTAACGAGGGTGTGAGGGATTCCGAACCTGTAGACAATATTCCTCCAGGTGAACCTTTGCACATTTTCGGTGGTGATTTTGGCGAGTGGGCATGCCTCGATCCACTTGGTGAAGTAGTCGATCGCCACTAGGAGGAACTTGAGCTGACCTTTCGCGGGGGGGAATGGCCCGAGGATGTCCATTCCCCACTGGGAGAAAGGCCATGCTGACATCATATGGTGAAGAGCTTAGGGCGGTTGTCGGTGTGTGTTGCCGAACTGCTGGCATTCTTTGCATTTTTGTACGTAGTCCTGGTAATCCGATTTCAGAGTGGGCCAGCAGTATCCTGCTTGGAGTACTCTGGTCTCCATTGAGCGTGCTCTGGAATGCATGCCACATATGCCCCGGTGAATCTCTTCGATGACATAGGCTGCTTGAGGCGCAGTTAAGCACTTGAGAAGTGGGGTGGAGATGCCACGTTTGAACAGCTCGTCGCCGACGATTACGAATTTGGCCGACCTCACCTTTATTTTCTGAGCTTCGTCCTTGTCTTTAGGCAAAACTCCTTCTTTCAAGTAGCTCTAGATGCCTGTCATCCATCCCTGGTCTTCGCTGTTGTTGGTATTGACAACTTTGTCATCTAGGTTGGGTGAGTGCAAGGTCTCCTGGATGATGGTCCGATGCTGCCCGGGTCGTTTGGTGCTGGCGAGCTTTGATAGGAGGTCGGCTCGAGAATTTTGTTCTCGTGGCACATGCTGTATAGTGAACTCGTCAAAGGATGAGATCTGGTGGGATGCGATGTGAAAGTACCGCTGTAAGAGAATATCCTTTGCCTGGTACGTCCCACTCAGCTGTTCCACCATGAGTTTCGAGTCGCTGTTGCAACTCACTCTTCAGGCCCCGAAGTCACGAGCCAGCCTTAGTCCTACGAGAAGGGCCTCATACTCCGCCTGGTTGTTGGTCACTTTGAAGCTGAATTTGAGGGATTGCTGAAAAGAGACTTGGTTTGGGCCTTCCAATATGATACCTGCACCCCCACCCTTAGAGTTAGAGGACCCGTCAACGTGTAAAGTCCATACCTGTGGTTCCTCGGCAGAAGTGGGCGTGAGCTCGGCTACGAAGTTGGCCAGGCATTGAGCTTTCAGGGCGCCACGACTTTCGTACTTGATGCGGAACTCGGAGAATTCTACTGACCACGCAATCATCCGTCCGGCGAGCTCAGGCTTTCTCAGAATTTGCTTGATGGGGTAGTCAGTTTTGACTATCACCTGGTGGCTCTGGAAGTAAGGTCGGAGTCGCCGGGCTGCAGTGACGAGTGCTAGTGCCAAATTTTCGATCATTTAGTACTGTTTCTCCGTACTTTGGAGAACTCAGCTGATAAAGTAGATCGGCGTCTGTATTTTCTGATGTTCTTGCACTATCACTGCACTGATGACATTTTCTGCTACGACCAAGTAGAGGAGGAGGTCGGTTTTATGATCCGGCCTCTGCAGGATAGGCGGGGTCGTGAGAAAGGTTTTGAAACTTCAGAAAGCTTCCTCGCACTGATCCGTCCACTGGAAGTCTTTTGGCTTCCGTACTAGAGTGAAGATTGGCCCTACCTTCTCCGCAAGTCTGGGGATGAAACGGGACAGTGAGACTAACCTTTCGGCTAGGCGTTGGACTTCTTTCACTGTTTGAGGACTCTGCATCTGGATAATGGCTTTGCACTTCTCAGGGTTGGCTTCGATTCCTCTGCTAGTGATCATAAAACCGAGGAACTTACCTCCTTGGATGCCGAAGACACACTTCTCTTGGTTGAGACGCATGTTATGTCTCCTGATTTGGCTGAACACCTCGGCGAGGTCAGCAGCATGGTCTGCGGCTGAGGTGGTTTTGACCACCATGTCTTCAACGTAGACCTCCATATTTCAAAAAATTTGCTGGTGGAAAACCTTGTCCATCAGTCGCTGGTAAGAGGACTACCATAAGAGGGGTAGCTACTTTGAGGCAAATGGTTACATTCTTCCAATATGGACTATCTAAAATTATATTTTCAATTTTTCTTCCCTCTTGTGAAGTTCCAAACTTACTCTTCTTCCACTTTTCAGAGCTAAACATGGTCATCAATGATGCTTTCATTTCATGGAGACAAGATAAAGTCAAATAAGCTGTTGCAAATCTAGTCATACCAGGCCTAATCAAATCTCTTCCTTTTGTAAACTTTTTTAGCATGCTTCTACCATATATGTAGGTAGTGATCCTCCTCCCCTTCTTTATAGTAGTTTGATGAACCTTCAAGTGTTTCTCAAAATCCTAAAATATCAAATCAATGCAATGGGCAGAACATGGGTCCAATACAAGTTTTGTTAAGTTTGCATAAACAATTCTCCTAGTGCCTTGTAATTTGCAGCATTATCAGTAACCACTTGCACTACATTCTCTTCTCCAACATATGCCACTACATCACCCAACATCTTAAAAACTTTGTCATTAGTTTTTGAGATATCAGAAGTATCTAATGAATATAAAAATACAGTACCTTTTGGACTATTCACTAAAAAATTACAAATAGATCGCCTTTTTCTATCTGTCCACCCATCAAACATAATTGAGCAACCAGTTCTCTTCCACTCCTCCTTATATTCTTCAAGTAATAAATTGGTGTTCTGGACTGCTTATTTCAAGAGCTTCTCTCTAATATCATGGTAAGATGGAGGTTTATAGCCAATTCTATATTTTCCAATCATGTCACACATTTTTGCAAATGCTGGATTTTTAATAACATTGAATGGAATGGTACTTGTGTAAAAAAATTCAGCAACTTGAGCATCAACTTCTTCTTTATATCCCTTTTTCATCATTTGATTTATAGTTGCTTGAACTCCTCCTCCACTACCGGTAAGAACTTTTCCTTTTCCTTTGGACCACAACATCCTTTAATTATTTGTCTCTAAGGCCACCCCCTGACTTTGTTGTTCCTCAACTTCTTCTTCATCAATACTATTCAATCTTCTTTTCTTCAATGATGCCTCTTTAGCCTCCACAATAATTTTTAACATAAGTAACTTAATTTCTTCGCACACTGAAGCACAAGGCTTTGAATCTTCTCTAGTCCCTGCAAAGATGATGCTTGAATCTAGTAATTCCTCCACTCACAATCTTTGAGCAATAATTACATTTAACTTTTCTTGCATTGCCGTGAACATCTGTCCCATGCTTCCACCCAATATCTGACCTGTTTCCTAGAGCATTTCTATTTCTAGCAACATAGAAGGCTACTCCTGATCCACTATCAGCAGAATTTGATCCAGTCCCATACATGATTATAGTAGAAATCACTATAAATAGAATCAGAAATGATAATCAAAGTTGCAATCAGAAGCAAGTTAACAATGATTCAATGAATCACAAAAAAATAAGTAAAATTTAAAACCCTAACCAAAGTTGGTTCGCACAGAAGTGATTCGCGCACAGAGAAGATAGCGGAGCCGCATGATTTGCCTTTGTCGTGGACTTGTGGAGAAAAAGACAGTGGAGGCGCACGGAGGAGAAAAAGACAGCAAAGGCGCACAGAGGAGAAGGAGACAACGGAGGCGCGCAGAGGAGAAGGAGACGGCAGAGGCGCGCGGAGGAGAAGGAGACAACGCGGAGGCGCGCGGAGGAGAAGGAGAGCGCGAAGGCGCGCGAAGGAGAAGGAGACAACGTGGAGGAGAATGAGACACGGAGGAGAAGAACACAATGTTTGTGCACTCGTTCGAGAGAGAAAATGAGAGCACCAGTGCCCTAACACAAAACGAGTGTTTTGTGTAAGTGAAAAAAAAAGTGATTTCTTAAACTTGGAACTGATCTCGCGAGATTACACGAGAACATTCTTCCA